TTTAGAGTGAAATTTGATCACTATGACAAACAGTATGCTTTGATTTGGGGTCCTTTAGTCTTGTTTTTTTCTTGAAGAGGTCTAATGAGGAGCACTCTTCAATCTTAGGTACATTGTTCTCATGCACAATGACAAAGTAATGGGTCTTAAAAAAATAATGCAGGTGTTTTAGTCAGTTTTCCATTGCTGTGACAAAATACCTAAGACAAATCAACTTCAAGGAGAAAAGATTCATTTTTGACTCACTGTTTTAGAGGCTTCCTTACATGATCACTTGGCCCTGACACTTTGGGCTTGAGGCAAGACTGAAGACCACGGTAGAGAGTAAATCCATGGGAATGGTGAAGCAAATATACTCACACCAAGGTGGCCAGAAGTGAAAAGCAAAAAGAGAAGGGTGCCCGGGTCCCACTCTGTCCTTCTAGGGTCTGTGCCCAGTGACCTACCTCCTCCAATGCATCCACACCACCTAAAAGTTTCTACCATCTCCAAATAGTGCCATCAATGGGGATCAAGCCTGAACAGTGAACTCTTGGGGACCGTTTAAGATGGAAACCGTAACAGCAGATCTTGATTTCACCTTGCAGAATGTTTTATTTACCTGACTGGAAAAGACACTTAGATGGGTAAAAGAGTCACTGATTTGCTGCAATTCCAAAGGCCTGGTCGTGCTTTTGTTGGGTAGAGTTTAGTCCCCAAGACTTGGTCAATGGAATATTCCTCAGAGATGGGGGGTGAAGCTGGACCATTGTTTATGACTGAAGAAAGTGCTGGAAGTTCTGTTCTTTCCTCATCTTCAGAGCTGTTTATGAGTTTTTAAAGCTTTTTTAAAAAGCAAATTAAAAGACCAACAGCTCCTGTTTAGAGGTCCCAATATTATGTGATCATTTTTTTTTTAAGCCTGCTGGAGTTTTCAGAAATAGGACAAATAGAAACTGAATGGTTAACTGGAAGACATTTGTCTTATCAGATCTTAAATATAAATATTACCCTCAATAAGGCAACAAAACATAATCTTGGCTCCTTGCCTTGTGTTTCACTACTTTTTATCTAATTTTTGTTTCCTCAAGACTATTTTCAAATTATCTAAATTTCATAGCATAATTATTTTTTATTATAAAATTATTTGGAAAGCATTGTTCTTTAATTTACATCATTTAATTTACTTCTCAAAGGGATAGAGAAAGACTTTACAATTGCAAATTTTCAAAGTTAAATGATGTAAGGAATGAACATACAGTCAAGAAGACCCTAGTTTAAGGTCTAGTCAAACTGAGAGGAGCACATATCCTATCTTAGCAATTACTACTGTTTGTTAAGCTGTGTATGGCAGTTACAGGCAGTCTTTACATTCATTAGCAGCCTTCACAACAACCCTTTCAGGAAAATTGTATCATTGCCTTATTTTACAGAGGGATTCTACAGATAGAGCATCTAAGACTCAAAGGATTTAAGTAACCCAAAGATACCATCCCACTTCATCTGTACTTCTATTGGATCTTCAGAGAAGTTGCAGACTCATTGTCAAATACTTCTAGAGGTGATACCTACAAAGATTTTCTGTCATCATGCCATCTTGGAAGGAATACCTGTTTCACTTTGGCAATACAATATTTATTTATTTATCTATACTCTGAAGTATTAAATATTCAATGTCTCATCTCAATTTTGAAGCAACCCCAATTGATCTAGTGCTGTACTTGCTCACAAAGACTAATGCTATTAGGAAAAAATTCAGAAAGATTGGGTGTAGTCAATGTAATGTTAGAATGGAAGGTTGATTTAATATTTTAAGAGTAATGTAATGTGCCATTTTAATACAACAACCCCACACATGATCCAGAAATACATTTGACAAAGCCTATCAAGCATTCATAATAGAACTTGCAGCAAATAAGGAAGGAAACATAAGTTCTTCAGTTTGGTAAAGGACATTTGGAGAAAAGTCAGAGCTGCTGGGACCCCCAGGTAGTACAGGACAATCCCCAGACAGGCAGTAGTATTTTCTGTCTCTACACATCCAGGACTAATGCTTTTTTCCTGGCTATCCAGAGAACACATCAAGTCTTAGGATAGACTAGTGCAAGGGCAAGGCCTGGAAACTATAGCTTCAACACCCTGGTAAACCTGTCCACCTCTGACCACATCTGGCACCCCTCTGCTGTTACTCTGTTCCTCTCAAGACTCTCCTACAACTTGGCAGGAATGAAGGATGCTTCATCCCTTCTACTGACAGGCCAGTAGAGGAAGTGAGGCCATCAAAGGTTATACTGTTCCCCCCAAATTCTTGTGACTGGAAAGTGATTAGCTCTGGGGATGCTATACTCGTTGGCAGATTAGTCCACTGATGAGTTCATCGCTGAATGTTCCATTAGGAGGTGGGGTGTGGTTAAAGGGGGGGGTCCCTGTGGATGTGACCTCAAAGTGTGTGTTCTTGTCCTCTGTTCTCTGTGTGTCCTGCTGCCATGGGTTGGGAAGCTTCTCACCCAGGCCTCTGCCGTCCTGTTTCTGCCTTGGAGCTGGCTGACCATGCACTGAAACCGGGAGCCAAAATAAACCCCTTTAAGTTGTCAGGTATTATGTCCCAGCAATGAAAAATTGGCTAAGATAGCTTCTAAATAACACCATCAAGGAAATTATCCCTGGGTGGTCATTGTATACCTACACATACTAAGCATAACCATGAATGTATCGTCACTGATTTTCATGTTTGTCAAGAGCCCATTCTCATTTTAAACAATAGGCAGTCGAAAACTGAAGATGTCTAGTTATCCCACTCCCAATAAACACTGTTTAAAGAGTTTAGTTTATGGCCTTCAAGAGTTGTTTTCTGTATGGACATAAATATCCATATCCATTCTGCCATACGTCTTCATAATTATTACAAATACTGTTCATTCTAGTGATTATTACAGTATTTCACAAAAGTCAGTCCCACACTTATCTGTCAGCTCCAGGCTTTACTATATCTTCATTGTTGTGACTTAAACAATGGTGTTCCCTCCAGAATTCAGGTTGGAACTTTCTCCTCAATGCAAAAGTATGAAGAGATGTGCCCTTTGAGAGGTGGTTTTGGGAGGCAGAGCCCTCATCAACAGGATTAACACCCTTATGAAGGCCCCCAAGAATGCTGAAAGGAGTGTTCTTATGCCCTCCTGGCCTTGTGTCCTTTGAGGTCATAGTGCTTCTCTCCTTGGGGTGAGGCAGCGGCAGAGTAACATTTTGGAAGAAGAGACCAGGCCCTGTCTAGACAGTGAGCCTCCTAGCACTTGATCTTGGGCTGCCCCTCGCCTCCAGAACTATGAGATAAATATCTGTTTTTCATAAAATACCCAGTCTCCGGTGTTCTTCTATACAACAGAAATGGACCACGTGATTCATATTTGAAAATATCTCTTTTGTTCTTCAAATGTACCTTTTTTTCTCAGTGACTATTCTAGCCTTAATCTTGAATGAGCCTAATCATTTTAATTTTGCTGCACAAATCACCTCATCATTAAGATATTAGTAGATATGCTGAATTTCTTAAGCTATGTTGATTTTCTATTATCTCTTTTATACATATTCTTGGGCCTACAAAACAAGGGAAATCCCTCAAGTTACAGGAATGCCAAATGGGAGGTTTTACATTTAATATTCCAGGTATTGTTGGTAGAACCGTGTGTGAGCAAGGGGCTTGGTGGGTATGGTCCTTGGCCATGAATGTGGATGCTCAGAGCTTCGTCACAAGGCCCTCGTCCTTACAAATGCACATAACATGTTAGCAAACATACAGTTAGCAAGTGTGGTGGGCGCTTGCAGCTGATCTAACCATTATTATTTGTTCTTTCTCTCTCCCAAAAGGCATAAAAAAGTCTCTAACATCACGTGAATTAATAAATCGTGTGTGTCCAGATGGAATGATACTAGCTTCTCTCTGCCCCCTTCCAGAGGCTTGTAGTATTTCTTGAGAAATCTGTTCTAATGAAACAGATACTTTGAAAATGAGTTCCTTGACTTACAGTTGTGTGAACTGTTTTTCAAAGCAGATTTTGTGACACTCTTTTTTTTTTTTTCTACTACAAATAATAGAATCATCTGGACAAAAAGGTTATGCTGCACTTTTGTTTTGTTTTGTTTTTGTTTTTTGAGACAGGGTCTCACTATGTAGTTGAGACTGACCTGGAACTCACTATGTAGCCCAGGCTGGTCTTGAACTCACGGTGCTCCTCCTGCCTCAGCCTCCTAGGTGCTGGGATTTGCAGGCATGTGCCACCACACCTGGCTTATGCTGCACTTTTTAAAAATAACTATCACAGTTTAGCAATAAAATTAAAACACATTTGACTATAGTCTCAACCTATATTTTAAGACTCTCCTGAATTTATTTGATGTAGTAAGAAAAGATGCTACATTACCAAATAAGTTAAATGCACTAAGAAAAACTTAGAATTTATGGCCAGACAGAATAGTTGTTTAAATTGTTAAATGTCTGCTTGTTTCTATATTACACAAAATATAAAAATTTTACAGAAGTATGAAATGATGTCGATGGCATAATGTAAATAAAAATAAGATACAAAATTACAGTGATACTATGTACTTACACGTCCGGCAAGGAGGAGCAGATCCACGTGACAAGATTGTTCTCCAAGTCTGTTCTTTGTTACACCGCCTTGAGTTCCTGTCCCCTGGGTCATTGTCTCAGATAATGAGAAAGGGTCAGAGCTACACATAAGAGCCCATGGTGTCAGGTTTACAACTTCTACAGTATGTAGACCCACTCAGGGACTGGGGATGTACCAGTGGCGACGCGCCTGCCTGACAAGTACAAGGTCCCAAGTTTAATCCCCAGTACCAACAACAAAAATAGACCCACTTGGCCCAGGGATTTAGCTCAGTGGTTCCATCGCCTGCCTCACAAGCTCAAGGTCCTGAGTTTAATCCCCAATTCAAAAAAAGAAAAAAAAAGAAAAGAAAAGAAAAGAAAAGAAAAGAAAAGAAAGAAATAGACCACTTACCTCTCCAAGGATACAGAAATTGACCATGTGGAGGGAATAGGATTCCATGCTTGGTGGCCAACACTCCAAAGCCCTTTTGATTCCTTCAGCTAGAATTTCTTGAAGTTAATGGAACCTAAATTGGAACAAATTTCAAAAATTGTGTTGATTCAATGAGAAACTAAAATGTAGGTCCCTGACCCTGGGCTTAACTGCAGCATCAGAAGTCTGTGAGTTTGTGACTCAGGAATTGAATCTTAACCACCTCCTGAAGAGATTTCATCCAGGATTGAAGTGCCTTAGATACCCAGATCTCTTCTAGCCAGCTCTGCATCGCTGAGGCTGGGCTGCTCCTACCCCGGCCCTGCGTCCCCAGTTCTGCATCTCATCATTGATCTCTGAGGCCCACGCTCACTAGGATCCCTAGAACTTCTGGGTTTTGTACTTCTGCTTTTCTACATGTGTTCCAGCAGAATGTGAGTTTTTCTTTCTTTGTTTTTCTTATTCTGTTGAGAAAGACTCTTCAGTTTAGCAACTTGACCTCACCTCATCTGTCTCTCGAATACTCTCCACTCTTGCCCTCAGCCACCCACCATTGGAAGAGGCATGGGGAGCTGAGAGGACCAGTAGCATTCACCAGTACCTTCTTGCCAAAATGTCCTCATTGTTTAATTCACATTTCTCTCATGACATGACTCTGGCCTCCAGCCTAGAAAACCAAGAACAAACAAATTACTTGTCAGAGTTATCTTCTGTTTTAAATTTAATTTATCAAAAAATATTAGAAAGACTTGTATAACCTACAGCAGAGAAAGTCTTTCTTATTTCTCTGTTGAATCAGCTATTCAACAATAATATTGATTTGGATGACAATGTCGATTATATTTCATTAATCCAAATTAATCTTATGTTTACTACCTCTAACAAAAGTTATTATCAATTAACTTTTCTCTTTAAAACAAAACAAAATAGAAAATCTTAGTACTGATTTTCTACATTCATCCTCTGCATTTTCAGGAGTTGAAAATAAAAAGCAAGATGACTCCATATATCTGAGCCTAGAAGAACATTTTTGCATAGTAAGAGTATTCTGATGAGTACCAATTCCAAACCCAGATACAAACCCTGGTATACAATATGGGCAAAACTTTTGCCTACTTCCACCAAAAGTCAGATTGAGACTCAAGGAACTAGTTACAGATTGAATTTCCTTATCGCCATCTATTAATATATTTAGAGAAGCTTCTAACTTGATAATTGAAATGCAATTTACATTTTCATGTTTTCCTTAAGCCATTATTTCTGGGAATCCTTTGTAGTCTGTGTGCTTGAGATTATACTACTCCGATTGCCTGTGTCCTAAGGAGGAAGAGGGGGATTCACTTGCTAATGACTTGAGGTCCTCCATCTGTACATTTGCGGAGCATGTGTTGCCCTGTGACATCGCCTTTGTTTGTTGGTGCTTGATGTTTTTAAGTCTTCTTGGGGCACATGAATCTATCATCTCTGTGATCGTGATGTTGGAATAACTTTTCAAAGGATTATCAAACATCTTTTATCTGAATAAGAGTATTTCACTCTATTGACTCCCTTGACTTCCAAACAGGAATTTCTTCTGTGGAACAAATTTTTCCACTTGAGAGAAGACTCCAGTGTGTTTGGCAGAGAAAAGAGTTGCTCCCTCTTCCTAGCATCACTGGAGGATCTCCCAGAGATTAAAAAGGTTATCAGTTCAATAGATATTGTCAGTGGGTAGAGTGACACTTCTTTCAATCTAAAGACCTGCCTGATGATGTCACTTGAACAGGCTGCTTGTCATACTGGGGCTCCTTTGTCTTAATCTTTTAAGTATGTTTTTTGGGTCCTGTGGAGGTGCATTACTGTGAGTACACTTAACTATGCTTACGAAGATTCATTTATTATCTCAGCGTTGGTAGATCAGGAACTTGTTTATGGCACTGTGTGGTATTATAATTCTTAAACATGTTTATGCTCAAAAAATCAGGCTTATGCAGGATGAATGAAGTAAGCCTGACATAAAATTAATACACATTTCACTTTCAAATATAATAGCAGGGGCCAGGCGATGTGGCGCATGCCTATAATCCCAGCACTTGGGAGGGTGAGGCAGGAGGATCGCTGTGAGTTCGAGACCAGTGTGGGCTACACAGTGAGTTCCAGGTCAGTTTATGCTCAAAAAATCAGGCTTATGCAGGATGAATGAAGTAAGCCTGACATAAAATTAATACACATTTCACTTTCAAATATAATAGCAGGGGCCAGGCGATGTGGCGCATGCCTATAATCCCAGCACTTGGGAGGGTGAGGCAGGAGGATCGCTGTGAGTTCGAGACCAGTGTGGGCTACACAGTGAGTTCCAGGTCAGTCTCAACGATAGTGAGACCCCCTGTATTTAATGACATGCTTATCTGTAGTAAAACAAACAAACAAAAAAACCCTTCATGAGATGCCTTTGTATTTCACATTACCCATTTTCACTTTCTCACTGCTGGGAGAAAACACCCAACACCCACAACTTAAATGAGGAAAGATTTATTTGGATCACAGTTGGTATAGGCTTCAGTCCACACTCTACTGAAATGGTATGGTAGAAGGGCCTGGGCAGAGGAAGACTGCTGACTTTCATGATGGCCAGAAAACAGAGAGAAGGACCAGGGATGGAGATCAACCCTTCCAGGCCATGTCCCCAGCGACCCACTTCTGCCCAGGCCCCACCTCCCAACAGCAGACTCAGCTATGGAACTTATTCGTGGATGAACCACTGATGAATGTAGCACCCCATGATTTAATCATCTTCAAAAGCCCCCCTTCTGAATACATGAGATTTGGGGAGGGCATTCAAGATCCAAACCACAGCACAACATGGGGCATCAAGCAAGTAACATATCTAAATAGTGCAAAGCATGTTTTAAACCAATAATGATAGAGGAAAGAAATATGGGATATGTAGAATACAACAGAAAGTGTGTAAATGTCGAATTTATTTTCTAAACCTCAGCGTTTAACAGAAGAGTAAGAAATAATGAGACATTTTCTATTTGTAGCCTCAGACTTTGTTTAAAGTAATTATGTACAATGGTGATCACTTTACCATTTGTCTGAGAAAGATGATTAAGAGAGCAACTTTTGACATTTGAAAATCAGTACTGTTTACAGTTACAGAATTCATGTTATTTTTTAATGAATTTAAAAGAGATCAACAAGCACTTAAACTGTATTCTGTATTCATATTACTTCCTGTCAGTTAGATATTTCTTGAAGTTCAATAACTGTAAACGCTATAAATGAAGCCATCTTACAGGCAATGATCATAATTCTCATTTACATTTTACTGAGGTTCAAAACATTTCCCTCAGTTAACAATGATTAAAAAGGTGAATACTTCATAGGTCCTTAATTAGAAAGCAAGTTATGAAGTAACAAATCATGGATTTATATCCAAAATATTCAAAGAAATAAAACATATAAAATATTTTACGCAGTTAATATTTGAAATTCTCATATAAATATGGTGTTAAAACAATACATTATGGATATAGATGTTTTACTAGTCTTACTTTGAAATTTTAAAAATTTATAACGATGTGTTTGTCAGAGAGAAGCTGAGTTTTGTGTTTATGTATCTACCCTCCACCCTTTACTTTTTACCCCGACCCAACATTTGTTGAGTGAGTAATATGTAGCCGGTTGATTCGTATTTCTCATTTTCAGTTTTGAAAGAGCAGTAAGTATAATTAATGAGCTACCTTAAGTACTCATATTCCGGGAATCTCCTTTTTGAAATGGAGACGGCGCTAGGAGTCAATATATATAT